TGTCTCCTTGAACTGGATCTCACATTGGTGCTTTCTTGAGTTGCCTACCCAAAACATTTCTCCAAAGTGTGCGTGTGCCTGTGCGTGTGTGTGTGTGTGTGTGTGTATGAAGATGTCATGCCTGAATGTTTTGCTTATACATTTTCAAAGGGCAGCATGGAATTCCTGCTCCCTTAATCTACCTCTCACTTGGTCTACTGACGAAACTAAGTCATGGTTTTGTAATTCCTCAGACACATGAGAGAATATCACTGAGTTCCAAAACTGGAGTCCTTTCCTTGTGAGTCACAGACCTGGGAGGGTCTAGCATAGATCTGATGGTGACTCTAACGTCATGGTGGTCCAGTGGATGCAGCAAGTCTGTGAACGAATTAAGAACCTTTCCCTTGAAACTGCCACACACCCATTTTGAATTGATGTTAGCTATTACCTCCTGAAGCAGCGGCAACAACAAATTTTATGAACAGCAAAAGTGGACTTTGCCCCCGAGTGGAAAGTCCAGGACCATCCAGGCAGGGAGGCTGGATGCAACTGCTCACACTGCACCTGATAGCTTGGGCTCTGTGTCTTCGCCTTGGCGGAAGCTGCCTTCAGCAACAGCCTTTCCCCTTCAAGGGTCACAATGGCAGTTAGACCCCGTGCCTGCTAATTCCACCCCCAAACACACACACACACACTAGCCATAGCCAAGAGCCATCTTCATGCAGCATCTGCTCAACCTCTCTTGTTTCTCATTGGGCCTGTTCGGTCGCATGCCTCTCGTGGGTGAGCAGGTGGTTGGCCTAGACCCCAGGGACCGGGGACAAGCTTACTCCTATGGAAATGCACAGGGGTGGCCAGGTGCATGAATTCCTTGGAGAATAATTGTGCTAAGTGGACTTGAAAGGACAAATTCAGGAGACTGCAAACAGCCCCACTAAAACTCCTCTCCAAATTTCTCCTACAACGAAGTGATAATAGCCACTCAGAGGTGGACATTTCTCCTGCACCATGGCGGTCACTGCCACAGCCCTAGAAGAGAGGTGACAGATATACACCTTATCTCTCCCAGGTTAAGTTTGGCCTTATATTAGCTTCGGGCAACAGGGAGTTATTGTCCTGCAGTTTGGTAGCCCAGCACTCTGGAACTGTGGTGTTGATAGAGAATACCCTCTACGCGTCCTTCCTGCTTCTTCCAGCCCTGGTGGCTTCCAGGGATTCGTGGTGTTCTTGGCTGGAAAGCTCATCACTCCGGCCTCTGCCTGCGTTTTTACGTGACCCTCTCCAGGCTGTTCCTCTGTTTATAAGGGCGTCCACCACAGTGGATTTGACTTCATCCTACCAGTCACATCTACAAGAACCTTGTCGGCTCTGGGGCCACGTTCTAGGGAACTCATGGTTAGGATTTTGACATTTCCTCCTCCCTCCTCCCTCTCCTCCTCCTCCCTCTCCTCCTCCTCCCTCTCCTCCTCCTCCCCTTCCTCCTCTTGCTCTTCCTGCTCTTCTTACTCCTGTTCCCCCTCCTTGCTGGGGGTGGCAGAGACCATTTTGTAAGAGCAGCCTTCCTGGGGCCTCCTTAGGTTCTGGCTTACTGTCATCACAGGCTGGATTGTCTGTAGGTTGGTGGCCTGGTGGTTCCGTGCTGTTACTGCTTTGGCTCACCAAAGATTTCAATAGACTCTGCGTAGAGAGGGCTGTGGCTCAGGGCCCAGTAGGAAAAATTAAAATCATCATCCATGGGCTCAGGAGTGACCTGCCCCAGTCAGAGGATGGATTAATTTCCACTGACAACACATAGCAGCCCCTTTCCCTCATGACTGATGATTGGGACACTGGAGACTTGAAAGCCAGCATGTAGCCTTGTATTCTACCACTCCGTGTCCCTCTCCAAGTAGCCTCTCCAGGAAGGTCTTAGCTGCAGGCATCAGTGTTCATCCTGTGAAAGTAGGCGATAGGTCTGTTCTCAGAGGGCTGGTGGGATAGAGCATGCAGATGTAAGATGCCTGTGCCTGGCTTCAGGGTGTCTGCACTTGCTATTGCTGCTGGAAGCACCCTGCAGAATGACATCTCTCTCTCCTCTCTCCTTCTCATCTCACCTGCTGTCATGGAAATGCCAGCTGGTCAAAGTGTCCCTCTTCATTTTGCCAGAAGCCAAGGAGCTCAGATTCCTGGGGTGAAGCTCAGATTCCTGGGGTGGACCTCACCACCCACCTACTTACTCAACAGAGGTGTTGGATAATAACTCCAAATGCTGTCCCCTGTTAGGACCAGAGGACACAGGGACAGTTTACCCATGTCAGCGTAGCTATGTATGACACTAATGTCATATACTCTTTTGAAGAATTTTTTCAATTGATATGTATTGAGAACCAGCTCTGTGCTGAGTCCTATTACCCTCTCTTGCCCACTTTCTGACTCCACAAATGGTCTGCCTTCTGCATTTATGTCTGAGATTATATAATATATGTAATTAATGCTATTGTAATCTTTATATAGATAGGTTCTGCATATGAGAAAAATGTAATATTTGTCTTTCCTATTACTTTTCTTCTCTCCTGTCTCCCATCTGTCCCTTTAGGGTCCTTTCCACTTTAATGGTGTGTGTGTGTGTGTGTGTGTGTGTGTGTGTGTGTGTGTGTGTGTGTTCATTTGAAACCCAGATCCTGCATATGAGAGAACACATACCATACTTGTCTTTCTGAGTCTGGTTTATTTCACTTAGCATGATGCTCTTGTCTTAGTTTGGGTTTTATTGCTGTGAAGAGACACCATGACCACTGCAACTCTTATAAATGAAAACATTTAATTGAGGGGTCTCACAGATTCTGAGGTTCAGTCCATTATCATCATGGTGGGGAGAATGGCAGCATGCAGGCAGACATGGTGCTGGAGCTGAGAGTCCTACGTCTTGACTCAGAGGCAACAGGAAGTTGACTGACTGTTACAGTGAGGGAACCTTGAGCAAAAGAGACCTCAAAGCCCACCCCCACAGTGACACACTTCCTCCAGCAAGGCCACACCTCCTGATAGTGCAACTCCCTTTGGGGGCCATTTCCTTTCAAACCACAGCTCTCAAGTTCTGTTCATTTTTCTTCAAATGACGTATTTTTGTTCCTCTTTATGATTGGATAAAATTCCATTATGTATGTGTACCACATTTTCTTTCTATTTTTTTAAAGATTTATCTCAAGCCGGGCGGTGGTGGCGCATGCCTTTAATCCCAGCACTCGGGAGGCAGAGGCAGGTGAATCTCTGTGAGTTCGAGGCCAGCCTGGTCTCCAAAGCGAGTTCCAGGAAAAGGCGCAAAGCTACACAGAGAGACCCTGTCTCGAAAAAAAAAAAAAAAAAAAGATTTATCTCTTATGTGCATGTATGTGCTTGAGTTTATGGGAACCATATATGTGTAGAAGCCTCCAGAGGCCCGAAGAGGGCGTGGAAGCCCCCATAACTGAAGTTATAGGTAATATTAAGGACCATGTGGGGGCTGGGAGCCTTACTAGTCATCCGTCTCTCTACCCCCTGTACCGTATTTTCTCATCTATCCGTGGGTTGGTGGGTATATAGACTAGGTCTTAGTTACTGTGAATAGCACTGCATAACATTGATGTGCAGCGATTTCTGTCAGGTGCTGACGCTGAGTCCTTTGGGCATGCACTCAGGAGTGGTAAAGCTGGATCAGATGGTATCTCTGTTTTTAAATTTTGTGAGGAAATTTTGCACCAATTTCCATAGTGGCTGCAGTAGCTTACATTCCCACTGGCAGTGGAGAAGGTTCTTCTTGTTATCTGTTCTTTTTTGTTAGTTTTTGTTTTTGAGACAGGGTAGGGTTCCTCTGTGTAGCCTTGGCTGTCTGGAACTAGCTCTGTAGCTCAGGCTGGCCTCGAACTCACAGAGATCCACCTACCTCTGCCTCCCAAGTGCTGGGATTAAAGGTGTGTGTACCACCACTGCCCAGCTTGTATATTCTTGATAATTTGGCAAATATTTCATCAGTAATCTCTAAAATCACCCTGCACAGACCTCTCTCTGGTGTCCCATAGTCCCCTCCTCTTAGATGCAGGAGGCTGTGGTCTGCATGGCTGCCTTTTAAAATACTTGTCCTGAGAGCTTTGTCTTGGTTTGATGGTGGACATGCCCACTCAGTTGTTCAGGATGAGACTTTGGCATCATCTCAGTTCTTGTGTTCCTCTCACACACCCCGAGTCCACCCTAACAGTAAATCTATCTTCATGATAGAGAATCCATACACATCTCCTACCCATGGCTGGCTCCACCTTGGGCCACTGTCCCCTACTCAGCCTCCACACCACATGCTCCTCTGGTCTCCTGGAGCCAATTTCTGCCCAGCATACATAGTTAATACTGAAAATTGACCACCAACTGTCCAAAGTGCTCCAGCTCTTGGCTGCCCAGTCGGCTTGGGTACCACCCCCTCAGTTCACTCTGCCCCAGCCTCTGGGCCACCTGGGAGTCCCCTCATGGACATGCCTAGGTCTGGCTTTGCTCCTGTCATTTTTCTGCCCAAGTTGCCTCCTGTCCTTGTTCTATTGGCTCGTGTCCCTTTGTGTCCTTCAAAACTGGGTGCAAACACTCCGTGTGAGTCTGCTCAGACCCTGGATCCTGCCGCACACTCACATCCTGTGTTGCTCCACACTGCCATCTAATGCACATGAAGCTGGCAGTGTGTGTGTGTGTGTGTGTGTGTGTGTGTGTGTGTGTGTGTGTGTGTTTGTGTGGTGTGCGTGCATGTGCATGCACATGTGTGCACTTTCTTTCCCATCAGAGGGAAACACTCCTGAGGGCAGAGGTCCAGCCATTCACTGATGTCCCTACACATTATGCCTCATGGGGATGGACTCTGCTCATGTGCAGAGTTGAACATACTGAGACCTGGGGACTTGAGGTACTTGCTGCCTCTCCTCCAGCTTCCTGGAGGACAGCTCTTCCCCCAAGGGTCCCCAGAGCTCACTGATGATGCTTGGACTCTGTGCCTCTGACCCATTTCCCCTCTTCATTCCTAGACTGGCCTTATTGTGGCGTGCTACCATGGCTTTGTGGATACTGTGGTGGCCTTAGCAGAGTGTCCCCACGTTGACGTCAACTGGCAGGACAGCGAAGGGAACACAGCCCTCATCACAGCTGCACAGGCAGGTAAGAGCTGGCCTTCGTCTCCCTCCAGGGTGGTGCTGCCGGATAGGGCGGGCTCCCGTGGCTCCTGGGTGTATGCCACCAGCATGGCAATGGATCTGCCACTAGCAGGTGCCAGGAGGGGGCGGACTGAAATGCGGGAGCGCACATCCTCTCTGTGCTCCTGGAACCACAGTTTTACCCACTCCTGCAGGATTCAGAATGGAGCTGTCACCAGCCGGTGTCTCCACCGTAGCTCTACCTCAGGAAGGCAGGCTTGCCTGCCGCTCAGGGCACGGACACCCTCCGAGACTGGGTGGCATGGTGCTGGTGGGCAGGAGTCACAGTCACATGCTTTACTGACAGTTATATAATTAGGTACATTGCGAAGGTGACCTTGCACGTTACCTATAAACGCCGGGGACAGCTCTCTGAGCTTCAGAGAATTCATGTAACGGAGCGAGACGGAATTAGTAAGAGTCGTGTGCATGTGGTTCTAAGTGCATGTCACGGTCATCTCTGGAAGTTAATACACGCACCCCACAAATGTGCGGCGGCTCCTGTGGATTTGCTTGCACTGCGTTCAGAGTGCTGGGGTGTAGCTCAGTTGGTAGGATGCTTGCCCAGAGTGCCGAATGCCCTGAGTTCAACCCCAGCACTGGCCAAGCCAGGTCTCGGCAGTGCTTATCTGGGATGTCAGCACTCAGGAGGTGATGCAGTGGGGTCAGAGGCTTGAGGTCACAAGGTCATCCTTGGCTGTATCTGGAGTTGGAGACTAGCTTGGAGTATGTGAGACCCTGTCTCCAAATAACTAGCTAACTAAATAAGCAAACAAACAAATTTTAAAAAATATATGCATATACATATATAGACTCTATAGCTCACCGTCAGCCTTTTGTATCCTGAGATTTCCCATTTGCAGATTCAACATTGGTTAAAAAAAAAAATACATTCTTTAAACTGGATCTGGAGCAGGGCTTATAAAGAGCTCAGTGGTAAAGTGTTTGCTAACCCAGTATAAGGCCCTGGATTTGATCGTGAGTGAAACAAACAACAGCAACAAAACCCACTCTGATAAAAATAGTATGTCCGCACTAAAACACATAGACATTTTTCCTTGTCGTTATTTACGTAAAACACAGTGTAATGAATATTTATGTTATATTTATACTGTATTAGTTATTGTAGGTAACGAGATGTTTTAAGCACACAAGAGGACGTGTGTAGGTTATAAAAAATTAAAAATTATTGTTACTTTATCTGTATGGGTATTTTTGCCTGCTTGTATGTCTGTGCACCATGCACATGCAGTGCCCATGGAGGCCAGAAGGGGGCGGTAGATCCCTTGGGCCTGGAATTACTGGTTCTGAGCCACCATGCGGGCACTGAAAACAAACCTTTGTCCTCTGGAAGAGCATTAAGTACTCGTAACCTCTGAGCCATGTCTCCAGCCTCTGCTACATCATTTATATGAGGCACTTGAGAACCTGAGGGCTTTGAATCCACAAGGGTCCTGGAACCTGTCCCCAAAGACACCAAGAGGGACATAAGTCACATTCTTAGTTGTAACCCAGCTGCCTATGGCTAAGCCAGGAAGAAGAGGCCTGTGCGTCCTGAAGGAGTGCCGGGCAGCTTGGGTGGCGTCTTAGGGTTACTACTGCTATGATGAAACACCATGCCCAGAACAACCTGGGAAGGAAAGGGTTGTTTTGTCTTAAGCTCCTATACCACTGTACATCACTGAAGGGAATCAGGACAGGAACTCCAACAAGGCAGGATCCCGGAGGCAGGAGCTCATAAGAGGCCATGGAAGAACACTACTTACTGGCTTGCTTCCCCTGACTTGATCAGCCTGATTTCTTATAGAACCCAGGGCCACTAGCCCAGGGATGGCATCACCCACCATGGACTGAGCTCTCCCACATGAATCACTAGTTAAGAAAATGTCCTACAGGTTTGCCTACAGCCTGATCCTATGAAGGCATTTTCTCAACTGAGGCTCCCTCCTCTCAGATGACTTTAGCTTGTGTCAAGTTGATATAAAACTGTCCAGCGCAGATGGGAACTGGACTCAAGGCTCTGAGGCTGGAGAGAGTGCCCCAAGTGTGGTGATGTTGGCAGAAGTGTCTGCTGTTGAAGAGAAGAAACCTCTGCTGCCCCTTCTTGCTTCCCAGGATCCACTCTGGGTGGGTCTCATCAGGGGACACAGGGGAGCCCAGTAACACTGGCACTTGCCCTCCCGTCTGTCCTAGTGGGGGTAGTCTGCGCACCACATTGGCCAGTCCAGATACACATGGTGGAGAAACTCCCGAGATCGCTAGGGCCAGGGACTGTGCCGGAACACCCCCTTTTCCTCTCCCAGTTCTAGAGTGGGAACTCGATCTCGATGGTTAGAGTCCCAGGCTTTGGAAGGCCATGTCTCAGCTCCCAGCAGCGGGCGTGTGAGCGCGCCACTGTCCTCGTTTAATTTCTGCTCCTGTGACAGAATACCAGCAAAAGACAGCTTAGAGGGAGGGGAGAGGTTTTGTTTTAGTTTACAATTCCAGGTTACAGTCTGTCATAGCGAGGAAGTCAAGAACTGAAGACCGTTGTATCGCAGCTGCAGGCAAGGGCAGAGAGAAGGGTGCAGGGCATGCTCTTCAGTTCCGTTTATCTACTTTTATACAATCCAAGACCTATACGCAGGGGGTGGTGCCGCCCACGGCGGACTGGGTCTTCCTATACCAATCAACATAATTAATTATGTTAATTAATCATCCCCCCACAGGCTAGCCTGACCTAGACAATCCCTCACTGGGACTTTTCCCCCAGGTGATTATAGATTGTGTCAAGTTAACAGTTAAAACTAACCAGTCACAGTGGTGGTAGGTTTTGGTGATCACAACCCTCACACAGGATATCCTGTGGGTCAGGCACTGTGTCAGGGATCAAGGGCTCAGACGTGAGGGGCCACCCTGCCTTGACTCATTCTCCAGCTCACAGGACAGAGAAATAGACACAGAGCTTAGCACTGGCTGCTCAGGCATTGGGGAAGGGTGTGCTGTGTGTATGGAACGGGAACATTTCATCTGGCCTGGGCGCAGGGCCAGGGCTCAGAACACATGAGCTTAAACCTTAGCTAATGTGTCTCAAAGCCTGGGGCTGGGATGGAGGTACAGGAATGGGTCTCAGGAATGAGGGGACCAGGGATGGTGTAGGTCGTGTGGTTTGGAGAATCCTGCTAGGAAGGTAGGGGCTGGGCCTCTCAGTGCCCAGCAGGGTGATTCCAAGTGACATAATGCAGGGAGAGTCCACAGGGGAAGGAGAGCTGGGTGCCTGGAGCAGAGCTGTCGGTGGTGGTACTGTGGGTGATGAATGAAGTAGGAGTCCGGGCTTTCGGGTGTCTGTCTTGCCAGGGGCCAGTACTGACCGTGAAGAGTGAAAAAGCAAGAAGCAGGGGGCTGGAGAAGCATTGGTTCTGTTTGGAATGCTGGTATAACCAACACGGAGGTCCCAGCACCAGAAACACGCATGGGGTTGATGGAGGTTAAGGATGGCGGGGGCATGGACATGGGTGAGATCAACAGTGGGAGACTGTGAGGAGGAGATCGCTTTTCTGATTTGATGATTTGCATGTCAGTTTTTAATGCCCGTGGGATGCTCTCTGAATTCTTGCCTTTTGAAATGTTTCTGGTCTGTATACCTGTGAGCAACACCTTGACTGAGTGTAATAATATTGGCTGCCCCTCCCTCCTGCTCTTCTCCCCTGGCTTCTCTCTCCCGCCTTCCTTCCCTCCCTCCCTTCCCTCCCTCCCTCCCTCCCTCCCTCCCTCCCTCCCTCCTCTCCACTTTCTTCCATCCCAGGTGTTGGAAGGAGTAGTTGGAGTCCCACCGGCTTTATTTTTAGTTTGTTGATACCTGGAAATGTCATCCATCCTTCATGCTTGACATTGGAAACCAAGATACAGTTTCCAGCACCCACATGGCATCTCATGACTGTCTTTCACTACAGTTCTAGGAGATCTGGCACCCTCTTCTGGCCTCAGTGGGCACCAGGCATGCATGCAGCACACATGCATACATGCGGACAGATAAAACAGTTACACACGTAAACTAAAACATGATAAATAAATCTTTTAAAAGCCCACAGAAACTTACTATCACCCATCTCAGCTCCTCTGTGTGCTTGTTTGGACTCCTCTTGGGTGTGTGTTTACTTCAGGAGACAGTTTCCAGCTGCTTCTGGAATCTCTGTCTGCCTGTTTTGTTCTCAAGCCCTCCGGCATTCACCCTCACCTGTGGAGTGGAGCAGCCCATCCGTCTTCAGTCCACCACCCTCTCTCTGCGCGGGGAAATGCTTCACGGTACCTGCATTGCACCTTTTTTTTTTTAATGTTGTTGTTGTTCTTATGCCAGTTCCCACAGCTTCGATTAGCGCTCCTGAGCTGGCAAGGGAGTGCTCCCCAAAGCTTTATTGTGAGAAATCCAGAACAGTTCAAAGAAAAGAACCAAAGACCTGCTGGCAGCTGGTGATTTTGCCGGTTGCCTTTTGTGTTTTCTGACTGCCCATATTATTAACTCTTCTCACGGCCGTGACAAACTGCCCCACAGAAGCAACTTCCGGAAGGAGGGATTTATTTGAGCTCTGTGGTTGGAAGGTGCAGTCCATCGTGGGGGTGGGGGAGGGGAGCATGGGGTGGAGAGCATCTTTGGCTGTGGTGGCGGGGACTCGGGTCACTGGTCACAACGCCACAGTCAGGAATCGAACAGCTGACACTTATCTCTCTTCTTATGCAGTCAGGGTCTCTACATAATAGAGGAGTGCTACCCACATTCGGGGTGGGTCTTTTTTCCACAGTTAAAACTCTCTAGGAGCATCCTTACAGCATAGTGGGGGCTGTGTATCCTAGGTCATTCCAAAATCAGTCAAGTTGACAACAGAGATTAGCTCTCATCCCATCTGAAAGTCACCTACCCCCATGTAGCTGGAGAGTTTTTCTCTCCGGGTCCCACCAAGTCCCGCCAGTCCCGGAGCCCACTTATAA